CTGGCCAGCCGTTGGCGGGCACGTCGCGGGGGAGCGGGCTCTGGCCAGCGGTTGGCGGGCACGTCGCGGGGGAGCGGGCTCTGGCGGCTGTTGGCGGGCACGTCGCGGGGGAGCGGGCTCTGGCAGCTGGGCTCTGCCAGCGTGGCCTGAACCTCAGCAAAGGCTCTGCGTGGGGGTGGGAGGCCTGTGGGGCCCGCCTGGGGCTTCCCTGCTTGATGGGGGACTGGGCTGGGGAAATCAGCAGGACAGTAGTTGTGTGTGTGTGTGTGCACGCGCGCGTGTCCACTTTTGCTCACGTGTTTCCGTGCAGCTGCGTCTGTGGCGGTACGCGTGGGCTTGCACGTGTACAGTTCACATGTAGTGACCCTGCCTGGCGCCCCGGGATCCCAGCGTAGTGGAAGGGCCCCAGCGTGGCTCTGGGCCTCGTGTCTCTGTGGGGTGCCAATGGGAGACATTTGTCACGTGGCTATTCTGTGGCTGAATCCAGCGAGACACAGTCACCTGAGTGGCCATCAGAGGGTGAACCAAGCTCTTCGGCAGTAGTCTGTCCTGGGCATTTTATGGGGAGGGGATTTCTGATTCTTGCTATCTCGGGGTCTGGATGACGCCCCTTTCTTGGCCATCCCCTCCTGTTGTGTTTCTGTGTCTCTGGAGCCTGAGCCTGGGTGGCTCTGCTCCCCAGCCGTGGTTTCCTGTTTCCTGTTTAGAGGATCAGGGTGTTGCTTTTACACTCTCACTGTATATTGGAGGCAGCGTGGTGTGATGGAAGAGAAGCCTCATTCTGAAGTGGGGCACACCTTGCGCTTTATTCCCTCTGGGTCCCTTTCTCCTTCCGCAGCTGCTTAGTCAGCACCTGCTGCATACGGCGCTCAGGTCTGGGATCAGAACAGTGTGTGTGAGCGATATGGGCCATGCGTTGCCACAGCTCCCTGTGGCTCTGTAGTGAACTCCTGAATTTGGTGGCGTCAGGCGATAGCAGTTTATATTATGTTGCACAGTCCTGGGCCTTCGCTGGGCCCAGCCGGACAGGGTCATCCCTTTAGCCACACAGCAGCCAGGACCCGAGTGGCCTGAGGCTTCCTCACTGGAGTGCCTGGTGTTTAGTTCTGGCTGCGGGTCTGACGCCTGGGCCGTGTTTCCAGCCGTGTGTGGCCTGGGCTCCCTCACAGCATGGCAGCTGGTCTTGAGGTCGAGGGTTCCGAGAGAGAATGCCAGGTGGAAACCGCAGCTTTTAGTGACCCAGTCCCAGAAGGCAAATGGTGTCGGCCCTGCCATCTTGCTTGAGACAGTCAGAAAGCTGCGCTGGGTCGGGGGGATGCAAACCCCAGCTGGGGGCATGGCCAGTCTCCTTGCAGAATGCGGCGGGAGGCAGAGAAACACTGGCGCTGTGCAGTGCGCTCGGAGGCTCGGTGGGCGCCCGTCTGCAGACCGCCGCGGGGCCGCACGTGGGGCGGAGGCTGGGAGCTGGCCTGTGACTTGTACATCTGTGACTCTGGGCAAGTTGCTCCCCTTTTTTTAGGACCTCAGTGTCCCCTTCTTTAAAGTGGGTTGAGGCTTGATTTGATGTTCACTGCTCCCAGCTGTCCCTGACCTAGATCTGAGCCCGAGATCTGGAGCGGGAGGGACACTCGGGCAGCCGCTTTCTCGCCTCCCCTTCACTCTCAGGGTTTGCATCACAGGGGAGGGGGGAGGCCAGCCCCTGCTGCTGTCCTGCCGTCACAGTGGCAGTCACATGTTGCCTGTCCTCAGGGAGAGTGGTCAGCCAAGCCCAGGGTGGCTGGGGTCAGGCAGGGCCTGGTGGGAGCTGGCAACGCCGGGCTTCTCCAGGCTTCCTCCCCTGCTGAGTCACCCAGACGGCCACCCTCCCAGCTGGCCAGGGGCCCAACGCATGACTCAGATGTCTATTCTGGATTTGCGCTGGGGCTGCAGCCTCCATCCTCACAGTCCCGCAGCTGGTGGTGGCTTGGGAGCCGGGGCTCTGCCCGTCCCGGCCTCTGGTCCTTCGTGTTCGCTGGCCCTGAGGTTGCTATCGCGGTTTGGGCTGGGGTTTCCTTTGCAGGCGGGTGCCTCGAGGAGACCATCACTTCTCACAGGGGAGGTCCCAGCGTCTGTGGCGTCGGCACCCCTAGGTGCCGGTCAGAAATGCAGTCTCGGGTCTGCCAGGTGCCGTCAGTCCCTCTCAACAAGGTCCCAGGTCTTGGGGCTTCATGAGCCGAAGTATGGGTCTCGTGCATTTTGGAAGATGGGGGGCATGTCCGCGGCTCTGAAGAAGACTCGCGGGAGCCCAGGCAGCTTGGGAGGAGGCGGAGCTGGACAGTGCCCACCAGAGGGCCCCAGGCCAGCAAAGGAGCTGCCAGGTGTGCTGAAGTCCAGGGAGGGGGGCGATCTGGGCAGCTGCCAGCACACCGACTCCGCAGCCCCCCCAGTGTGTCCAGGTTGTGCCCACGATCTCATATTGTTAGACACTTTGGGGATGTAGTTGTAGCCACGGGGCAGCATGACTGCTGCGCTGCACCCCCCGATTCCATGGAAGCACCCCCAGGTGAGGGTGGCGGAGTTTCGGGCCTCAGTTTGCAGGTGGGGCCCCGGGCCCTTCCGCTGGGCTCTCTTCACCTGCAGGGCTTGTTCCGACAGCTCCGGCCTCACCCCAGCTTCTGAGTCAGTGGGCCCGGGCGGGGCTGCCCGACGTGCACTGGCGGGCTGGGCCTGGGAGCTTCATTTCTCAGCAGTGCTTTCGCCCCTCCCGCAGCGTTACACGAACAGCCATTTCCTGAGCTTTTGCTCTGTGCCAGGTACTGACCCAACGCTCTGTCTCATTTAATCTTACCATTCCCAAGCAATGTGGGGTCCGACAGCTGGGGAGTGGCAGAGCTGAAGTACAGATGCTGCCTCTGACCGCCTTGCTGTGTGCCTCTCCCCCGCCAGCCAGCCACCCCCTGCCCTCCCTTTTACCCCGGCACCCCGTTTTCTACCTTTGTTGAGAGTCCCATCAATTTTAGTTACATATTTCTTGGCATCTTGGCTTGCTTCTTGTCCATCCCCCACCACGTTGGAAGCTTAGGCGGTAGGAATTCGCCATCTCATCTGTCAGAGTTTTGTTCCCAGAATTTGGCTACCTCCTGGCACGCAAGCAGGTCCTCCCTAAATATTTGCTCAAGAAATAAATGAGTCATTGCCAGCTGCACCCCACCCCTCCCCCTTCCTCTGCCAACTCCGCTGGCTTTTCACTGTGGTTAGGAATTGGGCTACAGTCAAAATGTATTTGCAAATCCCTGATAATCCACCTACTCCTGGAAGCAATGCCAGCCTACAGAACAAATGCCGTGGCCTCCTCCACCTCAGGTTGGCACCTGCGGTTAGAAAAATGCAGCTCACAAGGTGGCCCCTGGACCTCATTCTGCTCGTCCCTCCCTGCAGTCCTGCAGGTAGTCTGAGAAGAGGACAAGGGCTCCCCCTTCCCAGATGTGCAAACCGAGGCTTTATGGTGAAGGGACTGGCCCTTCAGCCCGAAAACAGCAGAGCTAGGATTTGAACCCTGTCCGACAGCTCCAGTCTGCCGGCCGGCTGCGTCTGACTTCCCTGGGCAAAGCGCCTGGAATAACATCCTCTTGTTAAAATTTTCATCATAACGTTGAGGAGAAAATGTTGAACGAAACCATGTCACAGGGGAAACTGCTTGCGGTAGACATCACTTTGCTTGAATTCACAGATACCAAGACCTAGTGATGACATTAAGGGGGGACCAACTGTGTAGTGGCATGAGCCCCTCGATCTTGTTGGGCCCAGGACACCTCCATTTAACAAACTCCCAGGTGGTTCTGGAGCAGCCAGGCCTGCACGACCCCGGCGCTCAGCCCCAGAGCAGAGCAGGTAGTTCTCAGCCTGGCTGCGTGTCAGAATTACCAGGGACGCTTTCCACCCGCTGTCATGCAAACTTTACACGTGTCCACGCGTGCACACTGAGCCACACGGACACTTCACTTTGCATCACACCTACCGCTGAAAGAGCAGAAGTTTGATTTTAATAACTTTATCTTTTGCAATAATAGCTCACAAAAAGTTGCCCAGAGACTAGATTTCCATCCCCCCGGTGGGACCACACAAAAGAGAAGGAGCCCTTGTCCTCTTCTCTTTTGTCCATGTGAACTGTTAGACCATTATCTGGCCCAAGACATTGCTGTGTCTCATGTCATCCAGTATTCCAGTAATCCATCGTGGCTGCAAAACAGCCAGGCTCTTACCTCTTTCATGCTTCCTTCACTCATTAGCGGGGCTGTTTCTGTACGTGATCCTCCTCCTTATCTCTTGACCACCCGTGGTGTAGCTCACTCTGGAAAGGCAGGACCAATGCCTGTTTCATTCCCCATTTCTGTTTCCAAAACAACATCTGGGCTCGTGAGCATTTTTCATCAGCGACACCCAGAAGTTTTCTTCCCACCCATCATCAATGAGAATTTGCGTGTCCAGGCACGCGTGACGTGTTCCTGTGCATTCTAGGGGGACTGAAGCTCAGCAAGCCCCTTTTGGGGCTGTCATGGGAACCACCCCTGGCCACTTCTGAGGCCTTTTAGCAGCACTCCTCGCCTTTAGTTTCCTTGCTGGGGATAAGGAGATGTTCTAGGTTTATCTTGTACATTTCCTGCCCAGCCACTTTGCCAAGGACACTCTGGGAATTAAAAACAAAGACAAAAACTAGCTGTTCTGGTCCCACCCCAGACCAGCCCGTCAGAGCCTCCAGGGACAGGCCCGGGATGGTGTTTACGAAAAGCACACCCAGCCCTGATGGAAACCACTTGGTTAGAGGGGCACTCTCCTCAGGCTCTTGGCTCTTTTAACGCGTTGTCTCTAAACTGCTGGAACATCATGGGACATTCTGAGCTGAGTGTCTCATCGCTGTGTGGTGACCCCCACTTCTTGCCCCCTGCACTGAAACCTGTTTTGCAGAATTTGGCCCTGAGGGGTGCGGCGTTGGAAGCCTGGCCTGGTGCTATTCCTCACTCCTTGCTGATGTTGAACTCCTCATGCCTCTGGGAAAGATTCTTTGAGAACTTGCTTAGACTCTGAAAGTGACTTCCTGTGATCCTGAGAATAAACACCAGAATTATTCCTTACGTGACTTCAGTGTAGGCTGTTCAAGCTCTCTCTGAGGTCTTGGGATAGGCTGCATTTCCTTCGCCCATACCACTCCACTGGGCATATGCTACCGCTCCCTTTTCTTAGCTCTCCTCTACCCCCGTGGCCCCAGCTAGAATGCCTTGCTAAGGACGACGTCCTTGATCTCATCAACTAGAGCAGCCCTTACTGCTGCTTATCAGCTCTCTTGCTGTGATCCCATCAAATACCAGTGATCTCACTGGTAATCTTGATTGTGTGGGAGAGGGTCCCATCCCCAGTGCAATTTTTTGCCTTGTTCTTAATGACCTCTTGACATCTCTCTCTGAAGCCTGCCATGTGGACCCTCCTGTGCTCTACCACCACTCCTGGCCCTGGGCCTGGATAGGTCAGCCCCCCTCCACTTCTCAGTTTCAAAGTGAGGGGGATGCTTTGACTCACCTCGTGGGGAGGTGTTGAAGAATAGATGTGCTAGTCTGTGTAAAGCACAGGACAGAGCTAGCTAGTAGAAAACTTCAGTGGGTATCATTATTATTCAGCACTATCATTATTATTACTATGATATAGTAGAAGGTCCTAAAGGGAAGGGTTCATATTTGTTTGAAGGAGGTAGGCACTCAGGTGCTCAGAATATAGCTGTTAAACAAGTGAAGTAGGGATAAAACTTACACATACTCATAAATCTCTGTGAGAACTGAAGACACTGCCAGCTCTTATAAAATGCCTGGCACTGGAGAGGTGCGCAGTGAACATTTGTTAGCTGACTGACTGACTGACTGGCTGGCTGACTGACTGACTGGCTGGCTGGCAGGCTGGCTGACTGACTGACTGGCTGACTGACTGACTCACTGAATGAATGAATGAATGAATGAATGGCTAGCTGGCTGGCTGGCTGGCTGACAGGCTGGCTGACTGACTGGCTGACTAACTGACTGGCTGACTGGTTGACTGACTAACTGACTGAATGAATGAATGACTGGCTGGCTCACTGACTGGCTAACTGACTGACTGGCAAACTGACTGACTGACTGACTGACTGA